AGGTCATCAAACAACAACAAGAAGAGCAACGTCGTCGAGCTTTCTCGAGTGGCGGTTTCAGACACACATGGAGAAGACTCACCTTACTTCGCCGGCTGGAAAGCTTACGACGAAAACCCTTACGACGAAACGCATAACCCTTCCGGTGTCATTCAAATGGGTCTGGCCGAGAATCAGGTCTCGTTTGATCTTCTAGAGTCTTACTTAGAGAAGAAGAATCCAGAAGGTTCGATGTGGGGATCAAAAGGAGCACTTGGTTTCCGAGAAAACGCTCTGTTCCAAGACTACCACGGTCTCAAATCTTTCAGACAAGCCATGGCTAGCTTCATGGAGCAGATTCGTGGAGGTAAAGCTAGATTCGATCCCGACCGGATCGTCCTCACCGCCGGAGCCACCGCCGCTAACGAACTCTTAACTTTCATCCTCGCCGATCCCAACGACGCCCTTCTCGTCCCCACACCGTACTATCCAGGGTACGTCACACTTTATAATAAGGTCAAATAGAAAAATTATGTATATATAAATTAAAAAAATAAACACCACTAAAAAGGTCATTCATGATCTAGCATATCTTCTACTTTCATTGTATTTACCAAACGTTTTTTTATTTCTTACAGATTCGATAGAGACTTGAGATGGAGAACCGGAGTGAAAATTGTACCGATCCATTGCGACAGCTCCAACCATTTCCAGATAACCCCGGAGGCACTCGAGTCGGCATGCCAAACGGCTCATGACGCGAACATTAGAGTCCGGGGAGTTCTCATAACCAACCCATCGAACCCATTAGGTGCGACGGTCCAAAAGAAGGTTCTGGAAGATCTCCTCGACTTCTGCGTACGCAAGAACATTCACCTGGTCTCAGATGAGATCTACTCTGGCTCCGTCTTCCACGCCTCCGAGTTCACCAGCGTAGCTGAGATTGTCGAGAACATCGATGACGTGACAGTCAAGGAACGTGTTCACATCGTCTACAGCTTCTCCAAGGATCTTGGTCTTCCCGGTTTCCGTGTCGGGACCATCTACTCGTACAACGATAGTGTTGTCCGGACAGCGAGAAGGATGTCGAGCTTCACGCTTGTCTCGTCGCAGACACAACACATGTTGGCTTCTATGTTGTCGGATGAAGAATTCACGGAGAAGTACATTAGGATCAACCGGGAAAGGCTTTTGAGACGGTACGAGACAATTGTGGAAGGGCTTAAGAAGGCAGGGATCGAGTGTTTCAAGGGAAACGCAGGGCTGTTTTGTTGGATGAATTTGAGTTTCTTGCTCGACAAGAAAACGAAAGACGGGGAGCTCGAGCTTTGGGACGTGATCCTGAAGGAGTTGAAGCTGAATATATCGCCGGGGTCTTCGTGCCATTGCTCGGAGTATGGATGGTTTAGGGTTTGTTTCGCTAATATGAGTGAGAACACTTTGGAGATTGCGTTGAAGAGAATACATGAGTTCATGGACCAACGAAGGAGGTTTTTAATTATTTAAAGATAAAAGGTAAATTAATTCCGAGTTTTTTTGTGGTAAATACATGGGGTGGAGGGGAA